CCTACACGAGAGGGTCAGAGACAGAAAGGTACAATGAGGTATACATTGCTATCCTGAACTAAGAAATGAGTTAGGGGCCTGAGGCTCTCAAGGCTCCTAAAGTTAGGCCTATTGTGAAAGCAATCAGATATTTAATAAGAGACAAGTATATAGAAACAAAAGAAAAATAATAGTTAGTGATTGGAGTAGACTATCAGCCCAGTTTCTGAATGCAAGCAGTTGAGAAAGTTTCTAGGCATACAACTTGAAGCATCTTCAGATGGAGTGGGGGCAGGTAGTGACAATCTGATACATGTTTTCAGGTTTGCAGTTTGAATATGTCTAGCGATCTTTCTGATTGGCCATAGCAACAGGCATGAAAATTGTCAGTGCATGAACTGTTATGGTGATTTCTGTGAAGTTTATATCAAGTTGTCCAACTTTAGTTTGCATGGCTTTGGGAAAAGGGCAGTTTTAGTTCTCAATGATTCCAAATCAAAAGGGTGGGAGAAAAATTAGAAACCTTAGTTTGGAGAATTGTAGCCAAATATTGGTGAAAACTAGAAGAATTCAGGAGCAGTCAAGTTTACAGGTAGAAAACAAAACTTTAAAAAACAATGGACAGCAATAGAATCTAATAACCACAAAAGTGTGTCACTGAAACATTTTCCTCTCTAAAATCACCCTCATATCTATCAAATATAGACAAATTAAGACTAATCTGCTTGCAAAATAAGTCTAGTTTCAATAAACTTGGTCTGATTATTTACATAAGTACAGTAAGAATAGTGAGTGGCCATATAGACTCTTTTAAACTGCTTTGTTGGAACTTTTCATGAGAAATCTCTAGATTGGACTTTTAAAGGCCTCTTGAAGCCAGGATAGTCAAGCCAGGAAATTGTCATCAGCCTTCGCCTGAAATCAAATATAGATTTGGGTGAACTCCTCTCTTCTCAAGGTCCCCAAAATATCTTGAGATTCCTGCACTTGCCAGGAAGTGACCTTCCTTACTCACCCGGTGAGGCTGCTGACAACCCTGTAAGTAAAGCACCAGGCTGTTCCCAGGAGCTTTACTGGTTCCCTAAAGCAAATCTTAGCTCCTTAAAGTGGCCTGGTCCTATCTGAGTCTATGCATGTATCTCTCAAATATGAGACTCCAATCAAAGCCCTGGTAATATAACCAATGTTTTCAATTTCATCCTGTTAGAAAGAGAAAAGATTCTTATTGAAGTTATGCAAATAACTATACTGCCATTAAAAAAAAGTCCTTAAAATGCTAAGAGTTCCCAAGTTCTGGAGGGATTAGGTAGGGAGAAAAAGATAAATGTTTTAATTCTGTTTATGATTTACCAACTTGCTGTAAGTCATAGGTAGCGAAGTTAAAAAATTCTTTATATCTGGAAAACAAATGATTAAAAAACAGTAACATTTTAGACAAAAAATCATAAAAGTTATAATCATATTCATCAGCTTATTCAGTCCTATGTAATTAATTCATGCTCTGCTTGAGTCTAGTTGTTCCATTAGCTCTGTCAACCTTGCTTGATGATTGAGGGTGATAGGGATGGTGATAATTCCAAGAAGTTTACAAGGTTGTCACTAAGGCTCAAATGATTTTCCCAGTGAAGTGGACAAATCACTTGATCACCAGAGACTGTGAAAGGTATATCCCAAGTGAGAAACACATTTTCTAACGGTTTCTTTGCCACTGTGAAGGCATCAGCCTTGTACCAAGGGAAGGCTTCAACCCATCCTGAAAACATTATACAAGAACAATAACACACTGATAACCCATACTAAGTTGCAGTTGAATGAAGTCCAGCTGCAGATGTTTAAAGGGTTCACTGTGAGGAGGTCTGAGGCCTTTGACAGGTCAGACATGGCTGGTAGACTGTTTTCACAATTTCATAAGTCTCCCAAGCAATGTTTATTTACAATTTGAGTAATATTAAATTCACTATGGTGGGTGAAGGAATACAGAAACCAAAAAATGGGGTTTGCCACAGAGCCACAAAGTACCAAGTGGCCATTCTGAGTTTCCCATAGCCCTAAATGTTTATATAATTTACAGCTATTGTTTACCCATTTTTACTTCTCTGATTCAGGAGCAACTATTAGCATGTACAAGGACATTGGAATGGCAAAATTCTGGCAAAAAGAGGTCTTTTTTTACATTAACATTCTGTGGATTGGCAAATTTATGAATATATTTCATAATTTCTAAAGACGTATGCTACTTTATAGTACAATCCTTAGATAAAGCAGAAGTCATGTTTACTAAGAAACCCAAACATCTTTAGTTTCTACATTATAAAAAGACAAAAGTAGATAAAACTATGTTGAGTAATTAATGCTCAATATTTTATCTTTTTTTTTTTTGCGGTACGCGGCCCTCTCACTGTTGTGGACTTTCCTTCTGCGGAGCACAGGCTCCGGACGCGCAGGCTCAGCGGCCATGACTCACGGGCCCAGCCGCTCCGTGGCACGTGGGGTCCTCCCGGACCGGGGAACAAACTCGCGTTCCCCGCATCGGCAGGCAGACCCTCAACCGCTGCGCCACCAGGGAAGCCCCTCAATATTTTATCTTATTTGGAAATGATCTAGGTATTCAGTGAATTTCCATTATTTAACTTAATTTAGCAAAACTCTAAGGTTTCAAGTCACCAGAGAGATTTGGGAAACTATTTTAAGTAGACGTACTGTAAAACAATCATTGTTTAAAAGTTATCTAAAAATTCTTATTTATATCCATTCAGTACTTTTGTTCTTAACAATCATACTTAGATTACTCATGAAAATTTTAGGAAACATTAAAGCAATTAGCCATCATCTTAAGTTGTTTCTGTTGATGTTGTTTGTCTGGCAAATTTAGTACAGAGGTAATATGACCTTATTTGACTTTTAGTAAACCTCAGTAGAACAAACGTATAATACTGTGCTTAATGCTGGTAACTCTAAAGGCATGTCTGTATTAATTAAATGA